AGTGCCCTGTGGTCACCCACCTCCAAGCCCGCTCACCCGGGCCTGTCCCTCTGCCTGTCTCCCCCGCTGCAGTACTTTAAGAAGCAGAAGCGGCTCATCCCGGAGAGGACGGTGTGGAAGTACTTCGTGCAGCTGTGCAGCGCCGTGGAGCACATGCATTCACGCCGGGTGATGCACCGAGGTACACACCACCCGCCAGGAGCCGCCTGGAGCCCACGTGCCCCTGGACCCCCAGGAAGACGCTTCCCATGGCTCCTCCAGGGTCCTCAGGGGCAGCCCCTTGAGGACCGCTCTGTATTCCCTAGGCAGGGGGGCTGTCCAGCAACCACACACACATGCACCTGGATCAGGGACCTAGGTGGAAAGTGACGTGAGCCCCAGCACCACTTCCAGTTCCCCACAGCAGCCTGGGAGGGAGGTGAGGGGAAGCCCCGCACAGAGGGGCCTCTCATGGGGGCTTTGCCATCCCAGCGGGCTGGGCTGAGAACGGGAGGCACCTGAGAGGGCTGTTTCCATAGTTCACGTCACTCCAAGTTGTGAGAAAGGAGCCTGGTGGGTGCCTGGCAGGGCGCGGGGTCCTTTATGTAGGCTGCTTCCTGGATACCTCCGTTCCTTAACTCTATCTGTATCTCTCGGTGTCTGCTGTATTTGAGGTCCCGCCCTCACTGAGGGCTACGGCACAGGGTGCCCCACTGAGCGCCTCCTTCATTCGTTAACAGATTTTCCCTGAGGGCCTCCTGTGTGCGAGGCACTGGTCTAAGCGTAGAGGATACGGCTCTAGAGCCGGAAACAGGAGCACAGAAACCCCTGTTCTCTTAACCCTCACAGCAGACCTGTGAAGTTGGTGAAGGGAGACCCATTTTACAGGTGAAGAAACTGAGGCTCAGAAATGGTCAATTTCCCGAGGTCCCACAGCCAGAGCCAGGACAGGGCCTTGCCCTGAGGGAGCAGGACCTGGGCTAGGCCTCACCTCACCTGGAGCTCCCCCTTCCTCTCGTCCTGTCCCACCTACCCCAAGCCTCATACCTCACACCAACCTCCTTCTGCTCACCCTGCAGACATCAAGCCTGCCAACGTGTTCATCACGGCCACAGGTGTCGTGAAGCTCGGTGACCTTGGTCTGGGCCGCTTCTTCAGCTCTGAGACCACCGCAGCCCACTCCCTAGGTAAGGGGAACCTGTCTGTGCCCCAGCATCCCCCAGCGGTCCTGGTGACCATGCAGGGAGATGCAAACATTCTCCCCACGTGTCTTTGGTCAGTTAGGGCAGGAGGATGCCTTTTTTAAGCCCCAGAGTTTTCTCATCTGTTCAGAACAGTGACCCAGAAGGGAGTCAACCATGGCCAGAGGAGTCCAGCTGGGGCTTCCCGCACCCTCTGGTCACCTCCCGGCCGTTGCAGGAGAAGCTGACTGAGCCGGTTCCTTGGAGCTGGGGGTGTGTCTGTGGCGCAGGGCAGCATCTTCCCACTGCTGTGAGTGTCTCGTTCACAGGCAGCACCCGGGGTCCGTCCCTCCTGGGGCTGGACATTTGTGCTGTTTCTAGTTTTTGGCCTTTAAACCGGCGGTTTTGAGGCTGTGGGTACCAGGTGCCTGCCAGGGAGGAGGTGACATTGTAGCTGGACCATAAAGGGTGACCAGGTGCTGCTGGGACAGGGAAGGCGGGAGCAGTGTTCCAGGAAAGAGTGGGTGAGCCTCGGCGTGCAGCTGACCCTGGCTTTGCCACAGACCAGGGTCCTTGCAGGAGCGGTGAGAAAGGCGGGCAGGGCTTTGAACTCTGAGCTCAGTGGGCTGGACACCACCCTAGGGGTCGGGGGTTGCTGAAGGGCTGAACTCGGGAAGAGACTTGGTCAGATGTGTGTTTTGGGGACACGTGAAGCAATGGCAAGCTTCAGAACCCACACACTGGGTATGTAACCAAATGTGAAACTTAGAATGCTGGACGATGGACGATTTTTCATTTAGTGAGAACACAGGAACCAAGGGAGCCCCCCATTCGCCCTCAGTGGAACTCAGGAGCAGGGTCTCCGGTGCGTTACTACAAGGCTGTCTGGGTTTCACCATGCCCATCTGTGGGCACATTTCCCAGAGGCCCATGGAGTGGGCGAGGGCCCCTGCTTTCTCGGGGCTAGCTCCTGGCTCTTTGAGGTGCGTTTGCAGAGGAAGGTGCCCCCAGGCCCGCCTGCTGTGTGCTGCACCCACCAGCATCCGCTTCCCCAGGAGGGAGCTGGGCCCCAGGAGCTGCCCGCCGCCTCCTTGAACACCGCCCCATTCCAGCTCATTTCCACCCCACTCCATGGCTGAAGCCAGGACGTCTCCCATCCCCAGACCCCCGAGTGCCTGCAGCAAGGTGGGGGTGAGAGAGAGCAGCATTGTCTGGGTGGAGGCACTTTCTGGAAGTCACAGTGTCCTGTGGAAAGTGTCACTGTTCACACAGATTCCAGTGAGACTCTCAGTGCGTTGCACACAATTAGGAGAAATGTACGAGCCTAGAGACTAGCGGCTCCCAGCAGCTGCTGGAGCCAGCGGGGTGGCGGGGAGGGGGTTGTTTTGAAACTCTCGTCCCCACCTGGCCAGGCCTCAGGAGCTCTTCCTTTAGCTCCAAAGGGAAGATGTGTCAGGCCTTCCCCCCGGGGAGTATGGGACATTCCACTCATGCCCCTGACAGCCCCAAGCATCCAGCGATCCTTCCGTTTAGCAGAAGAAGAATCTGAAATCCAGGTGCTCGAGAGATTTTCCTGAGGTCACATGGCAGCAGGCCTCTCCTTCCAGAACCCACGCTGCTTCCAGGAAACGAGGGCCGGGGCCTCGGCGGATACTGTCGGAGCCCCCCTTTGGGGACCCAGGCCACCGACTCTCCGTTGCTGGAAGGAAGCCTTGTCTTTCCCTGTTCCCTCAAACGTTGACTTCCCTTATGAAAAACCAAGTGTTTCGGTCACTTTGGGACTATTTACCTGTGTGGTTGAAGGGCTTCGAAAAGACCAGGAAATTCAAGGGAAGCTGTCAAAGAGAAGAGGTCGAACCGCTGCCTCCTGTCCCCTGTCAGTCAGCACTGAGCCTTTCTCTGTCCCACTGCAGAAAAGAGACTGCGGCGCTCCGTCAGAGCCGGTTAGGATCGCATCATTAGGAATGGGCAGAGATGCGTCTCATCCGACAGTATGATTTTATTGACTTGGACTGGTGCACTTATTATATTAATGAGAAGAAATTGGAACTTGGGAGAAGGCCGCCCTCATAAGCCGGGCTCTTCCCGAGCCCTCCGAGCACTGACCAGGCCGCATGATGGGTAGAAGGAGCCCTCCTGGGGCCTGTCCCCGCTCCGGGCTGTGTGCCCAGCATCCAGGAGAGATGCCCAGTGAGCTGAGGCCTGCACGGAGCTGAGCAAGTCCCTCAGCAGGACGAGCTCCCAGAACCAAGGGCCCGCACCCACCAGCTTCCATAATGGTGACAGTGCCGAGCCAAAGCCCAAAGACAGACAGTGCCGAGCCAAAGCCCCTTCCACCAAGAGGTTCTGCAGACTGCTGGCTAAGTCTTGCACACATGTTTGGTTGGGCAAGAGATGGAACTAATTACCATTGCATCATGACTCAGGAGGGGCGCAGGGGCTAGGGACACTGCACACCCTGTGCGTGGGGATGAATTATGCATCTGCCGCACCTCATGTGCACCTACTATGTGGGAATGCTGTGCTGGCAGCCACGTTGCCCCGGCAACCACCTCGTCCCCTAAGGCTGCTGACCCAAGAGCTGGGCTTATGCAAATCTGGTCTCCTCCCACTTCCCCCTCCCGGGCCCCTCCCCACCTCTGTATTTGCTAACACGAGGCTGGCATGAAAGGGCATTAGTCAGTGCCATGGTCGGGCTGACAGGTGCGGTACCCAGCGGTGGCAGCGCGGCTGCCTCAGTGTCAGAAATAGGAGCCGTAATTAGAGCGCAGAACAGAATGAGCGTCAGACGAATTACCAGGCAGCAGATCATATTTGTCAGGAAGGATTGCATACATAAAAATTAAGTGACAGTACACGCCGGCGTAATGCAGGAAAAATGAAAGATTTGCCTATACACAGCTCACAAGCTGCAAGCAAGTGTCTCGCTCCGAGCAAGGCAGCAGCTGCAAGACAAATCACAGGGCTGGGAGAGCGGGCAGGCAGGCCTGGCTGCTCGGCTGTAGTGACAGGGCCGTCTCGGTGACAGCCACGGGTGACAGGGCGGGAAGGGCGGCTGGTCACACCCAGGCCCAGGCAGGGCCCGTGCTGCCTCTTGGAGTCTGGGGGAGCAGGTCTGGTTGGGGATGACCCTGTCGGGCACTCGAGGTCAGGGCCCTGCTGGGTCTCCCGGGGCTTAGCCTGGCCCTGAAGCGCAAACCCCTTCCTTCTCCTTCCTTGAGCCTACTGCCTGGCCCTGGGCTGTGTGTTGGGGATATGCAATTATGCAGTTTTCAAGAGGCAGACACAGTCTGTGCCAGGTGTCATGTCGAGGGGACAGGTGGCAGTGCCTCATGGGGCCCGCTGTGGGCAGGCAGGGCAGGTGTGGGGCTCCGTCATTCTAAACAGAGCCCCAGGGTGGCCAGGAGCCCAGGCTAGCCTCACCCCTCCCAGAGCCACCCTCACTTCGTTTCTCTGTAGCCACTGAACTCACTGAAAGATGAGTTAACGACGAAGAAAAAAAGAGTTAAAAAAACATTTTGCTTTTTCGTTGGCCAGACATGGTGGCTCTCGCCTGTGATCCTAGCACTTTGAGAGGCTGAGGCAGGCAGATCACTTGAGGTCCGGAGTTTGAGACCAGCCTGGCCAATATGGTGAAACCTCATCTCTACTAAATAGAGCGAAAAAATTAGTCGGGCGTGGCGGTGCACGCCTGTCATCCCAGCTACTCGGGAGGCTGAGGCAGGAGAATGGCTTGAACCCAGGAGGGAGAGTTTGCAGTGAGCCAAGATGGCGCCACTGCACTCCAGCCTGGGCGAGTGACTCCGTCTCAAAAAAACAAAAAAACAAAAAACAAAAAAAAACACCTCATTTTGCTTTTTTGTAAATCATCACAAGGCTTATTATCCCATTTTACAGATGATGAAACTGAGGCTGAGGGAAGTAAGAGAGACCACATCCCTCTGGTCACCCAGCAGCCAGGTACCAGAGCCCCACGGGAAATCAGCTCAAGCAAAGAGCCCATCTCCAGGCATCAGCCTGCAGCATGGCCCAGGGAGGGTTTGGGTTGTGGGTGCCCAGGGAAGGGGTCGAGAGAGAATCCCCAGCGAGACCTCGGGTGCGAGGAACACCTAGGGCTCTGAGCACTTCTTCCTCAAGGAAAAGCCCATTTGACCTCGCCAACAGCGGGTGTTGATGGGGGACCTGGAGCTCAGCCTGGGCCCCACAGGGAAGGACAGAGCCTCCTCTCGTGATGTGTGTCAGCGCTACCTTGCAGGGGATCACACCATGCTGTGATGTGTCTGCGCCCAGGCCTGGCACGGGGACCCTTGTGGAACATTTGTTGAGTGGACGGACGACCTTCATGGCCAGGCATCCCTGGGAACACCCAACGGTGCAGGCACGGAGGGCCATGCAGATGCATCCCAGGCCACCTCCTGCCCAGCCCCACCCTGTGTCCCATCCCAACAGTGCAGGACGCCTGGGAATGATCTGTCAGTCCCTCTGGCCCAGAATCCCTGCCTCAGCAGATGGACCTCAGGCCTGAGTTTCGGCCAAGGTTCTGAGCACTAACCCCTGGGCGGCAGTCACAGGTCTGCCACGTTCGTGGCATTTTCAGGGGAACAAACTGTTAGGAAGAGATGAGCTGATGCTGAAAGGGGAGGGGAAGAGAGGGAAGGGCCTTAAGGGGCCAGCAAGGGATGTAAACTCCAGCTCTTTGGTTCATTCATTCATTCATTCATCCATTCGATGAGGTTCTGTGCTGGGCCCAGGCCGTTCCCTGGGAAGGCTGGCTTGGCCCCCACCTTTGTGGAAGATACAGCCTGGTAGGAGAATCCGTTTAGTCTTCACCATGAACCAAACACTCCTCCAACAATCGCTTCTCATTTTCCAGAGAGGGAAACCAAGTCTGCAGAGGTTGGGGGGGACCCTCTGTTTTCCTGATGGGAAGACCAAGATAGAGAGTTTCTGTTCTCAGCCAGGGAGTGGAGGAAGCAGGTCCAGCCCAGCGAGTTCGAGCTCCACATCACTGCTGTCCCCACCTGCCCCTGCCTGTCCCGTGGAGGATTCGGTGCCAAGGCACAGCCACCCAGCCCGATGTCCTGCCGGCTGGACGGATGTCGGCAAGGAGACCACATTTCTCCAGCTGCTTTCCAATCCACCATCTGGGGAAGAGGGGCAGCTTGCAGGCACCAGCCTCCCCTTCCTGTGAAATCTGCCTTTTTCATAGCTAATGAACATGTTTCAAACACCGAGAGCATTTCAAAACATGGCAAAGTTTGTTTTGACAGGAGCGGTGCATCTTGGAGAAGCAGGACCCCTTTAATCAACCTCCCTCTTTCAGATCCCACATTCTCCTCTGATATCTGCTGGGTTTGAAATCGGGGAGTTCTAGGTAAAGATTCCGGGAAGGTCAGGGTTTGTCAGGCTCTTCTTTCATACACACAGCTCTGTCCCCCACCGAGAGGAGGAGGCGGTGGGAGTCGCTGCGAGGGGCATTGAAACCCAGCGTGCACGGGGCTCTGCCTCTGCGTCTCAGCATCGCCGGGAGATGGGCCGGGATAAGGAGGTCGTCCTGGGCAGGGCCCCTGTCCGTGGAGGCCCCTCCTCCTGCCAGCTTCCCCGACTTCCTCAGAATCCCAGCTCCCCTCGCATCTGGGGATGCGTCCTCCAGTGGCCCGCTGCAGGCTGGGGGTTTCTTTGAAATCTCTCGTTTTATCTTCAAAACTCATGCGAGTTGGGCATTGTGCTCCGTAATGTCTGAGTGGCTGTTGTCAGCATAGACACCAGGCTTTACGTGACTTATTCCCAGACAAGTTGGCATCACAGGAAGAGGTGCTGTATCTGCTCCTGTAGCTTCACACAGCCCTAGCTCCAGTCCAGGATACCCTGCCCCCAGTGAGACACAGCACCCTGACTTTAAGATGGAAGGGGGAGCAGCCCCTCCCCTGGGTCAGGGGGTTGGGGAACCTGCCAGGAGGCAGAGACCTGAGGACCCTGTGCTGCCTGGCTCAGAATGGGCTAAGCCTCTCCCAGTTAAGGCTTCACAGTTCCTTCACTTTCTTTACCTTTCTGTTGCACAGATGGTCACCGAGCATCTGAAAGAGTCGGGTGGGTGAGTGAGGCCTTTTGGCAGCTCCTTTTAGACGGAAACCAACAGTAGCATCTCTCGTAAGAGATGCAGGTGTCCAAGTTCCACCCCTGGAGATTCTGGCCCCCAGGTCTGGAGTTGGACTGGGGATCCAGATTTTTAACCAGCCTTTCCAGGCAATTCAGTTGCAGCGCGGATCAGTTCAGTCCTTCCTTGATAGATGTGGTCAACTGGCTCTTTCTGGATACTTCCTAGGACAGACAGCTAACTCCCTGCCTCCTGATGGGCCCACTCCTGCAAGGTCCCCGCAGGGTCAAGGCTCAGTTAATCTTAGATAGAGGTGGCCAGGTGACTGGCTGGATAGATGGGTGATGGACAGACAGATGGGTGAATGAATGGGGGATGGATAGATGGATGGATGGATGGATGGATGGATGGATGGATGGACGGACGGACGATAGATAATTATGGATGGTTGGACAGTTGGGTGGATGATGAATGGATGGCAGTTTGCAACACTAGCATCTTACAAGAAAGCTCCAAATTGCATTTGGGTGTTTGTCTTTTCTCCTTACACCAGTGGAAATGGGGTAAGCAGGAAAAACAGTGAGGTGGCAGAGGAGTGAGGTGAAGAGAGGAGAGGACGGAGGACTGGTACCCCAAACCTCTCTCTGCCCATGTGCCCAGGCTTTCAATACAAAGCCAGGCTGAGACAGGGATCTGTCAGCCTGCCTTGGAGACCCAGCAGAGGGAGGAAGTGGTGATGGAACAAAGGGACTAACATAACGTTTGGGTCCTGCTGAGCAGCTGGCTCTCCCTGGCCAGGGGAGGGGACCTTAAAGGAGCCCACAAGGTGGCAAAGGGAACAGCATGTGCAAAGGCACAGAGGCGAGTGGAAAAGCAGGCTGGGACTGGGGCTGGAGCAGGGGCTGGAGTGGCCACTGTGGGAGGACCCAGGCTGAGGGCCAGGCACTCCAAGCCCTTGCTTTCTGATGGACCTGGCCAACGCAGCGCCAGGCCACAGCCTGGCCCCAGTGTAGGTGACCTCTCCTTACAGCGCCCCTCCTGTAGAGGCCCAGGCAGATCCGCAGTGAGCAGAGGAGACTGGGGGTGGGAAGAGCCTGTGGGGTCAGACAGAAGGGACAGGACTCCCTGCCTGCATCTGTCCCCTGTCATCTCTGTGTGCACCCCATCAGCCCTCCATCATTGTCCAACCTGTAGGCACCTCCATCCATAGCACCTGGGTGCTGGAATCCACTTACATTTGTCCTGAGGCTCCCATTGTTCACCGAGAACTGTGTGTTTCATCCCATGGCTGGCTACAACAAGCCATCCATTTCACACTGGCCTGTTACTTTCCTTTTGCTCCCTCATGACCAAAATACACAAGGTGTTGCGACTGGAAGTCACGATTTGCTTTCCCAGTAGAACCCCACACGGATTCATATGCTGACTGACAGCCCTTTCTGCTGAGTAGCAGTTAGCCCCTGGCTTCGCTCATCAAGTATGCATAGAGGATGACGCCTTTCTCACACACAGGGCTTCAAGTGAGGGCTGCTGTGCTGGGGGATTATTGCCGTGAAAAGGAACTTGGTGTCCTGATAAAGCAATAATCACATTTCAGACACTTGAGCTCCGGGCAGCCATCAGTTAAATAAGCACTGTGTTCAGCTGCAAGGAAGAATTGTGGTCAGTGGCACACGCCGCCACATAGCTCACAAGCAGGCAGAGTCATTCATCCAGTGAGCGGACGCCCACAAGGCACCCACTATGAGCCATCCTGCGCAGGGTACTGGGATGCAGCAACAGACAAGGTCCTGCCCCTGGGGGTTTTCACAGCCCAGAGCAGAGACTTCCAACACCATTCACAGCCTCTCCAAAACTGCAAGGTAGTTCTTCATCCATCTCCATTAAGATGAGAAAAACAAGGCCGGATGCAGTGGCTCAGGCCTATCATCCTAACACTTTAGGAGACCAAAGTGGGAGGATTGCTTGAGGCCAGGAGTTTGAGACCAGCCTGGGCAACATAGCGAGACCCTCTCTCTACAAAGAATTTTAGGCGGGGCTTGGTGGCTCATGCCTGTAATTCCAGCACTTTGGGAGGCTGAAGCAGGCAGATACCCAAGGTCAAGAGTTCGAGACCAGCTTGGCCAACATGATGAAACCCATATTTACTAAAAATCTAAAAATTACCCAGGCATGGTGGGGTGCGCCTGTGGTCCCAGCTACTAGAGAGGCTGAGGCAGGAGAATCACTTGAACCCGGGAGGCGGAGGTTGCAGTGAGCCAAGATTGCGCCACCGCACTTCAGCCTGGGTGACAGAGTGAGACCCTGTCTTAAAAAAAAATAAAAAAAAGAAGAAAGAAAGAAAAAACAAGAATATAATAAAGTTCAAAATGTTGTTTTGTAAAGAACTGTCCTCAGTTTTGAGAAATGGGTTTTCTTTTTTTTTTTTTTTTTTTTTTTGGGTTTTTCTTTTTTTTTTTTTTTTTTTGAGATGGAGTTTTGCTCTTGTTGTCCAGGCTGGAGTGCAATGGTACAATCTTGGCTCACTGCAACCTCTCCGCCTCCTCCTGGGTTCAAGTGGTTCTCATGCCTTAGCCTCCCGAGTAGTTGGGATTACAGGTGCCCGCCACCACGCCCAGCTAAATTTTGTATTTTTAGTAGAGACATGGTCTCGCCTTGTTGGCCAGGCTAGTCTTGAACTCCTGACCTTGGGTGATCCACCCGCCTCAGCCTCCCAAAGTGCTGGGATTACAGGCGTAAGCCACCGTGCCCAGCCACTGAGAAATGGGTTTTCTAAATCGTGCCAAGCTGTCTTTTCTTTTAAAAATCATAGTATGACACTAAATGGTAGTTGGGAGCTTTGTGTTTTTAAATGCTTCCTTCATGAAATTAAAAGTTACCTGTGTTTTTCCCGAAATCTCCTGACTGTGAAACCCTGAGGCCTGGACCTGGCACCTTCTGAGTCCAGCCCCTGAATGGTCCATTCTCCTGCCAGGGTCCTGGGTCCTCTCCTCCTTGTGTCACAGGCTACATCTCAGCGAGCCTTTGCCACGTTGGGTCTCCAGCTCCCCACAGAGACTCTGGTTAGGACAGCAGCAGCCTCTGTCACACGACATGATGTCTCCAGGCTAGTGAAAATGTTCTCAGTTTAGCAACCTTAAAAATCCAGGCCAGGCCAGGCTCAGGGGCTCACACCTGTAATCCCAGCACTTTGGGAGGCCGAGGCAGATGGATCACCTGAGGTCAGGAGTTCGAGACCAACCTGGCCAACATGGTGGAACTCCATCTCTACTAAATATATAAAAATTAGCTGGGCAGGGTGGCACGTGCCTGTAATCCCAGCTACTCAGGAGGCTGAGGCATGAGATTCACTTCAACCCGGGAAGCGGAGGTTGCAGTGACCCGAGATAACACTCACACTGCACTCCAGCCTGGGTGACAGAGTGAGACTGTCTAAAAAAAGAAAAAAGAAAAAAAAAAATTCCAGGCCTGTGCCTCCAGAATAGCCGTCTACTCAATGGGCTGATAGGAGAATGTCAGGTTACAGGACCAGATTCCAGGGCTCCACCCCAGACCTGCTAAATCAGCCCCTCTGCTGAGGTTTTCATGCCTCTGGTGATGGAGAGCTCACTCCCTCAGGAAATCCTCCCATCTTTGCACAGTTTGAGCTCTTCCAACGTGTGCCCTGCTGCCCAGAGATAGCCCTACAGGCACTGGGAGGTCAGGGCACAGCCCTCCACAATTTCCTCAGTGTTGGCCTTTCCTACGAGGAGAAGAGAGACCCTGAGGACAGGCCCTGAAGCATTTTGGCTTCCCTCTTGGCAGCAGAGCCCCATCTTCACCATTAAAACCTTTTTTCTCTTTCACTTTTTAACTGAGGTATAATATACATACAGTGAAGCTCCTGGTCATCACTCCTATAGAGTAGCTTTTCCTGTTCTTGAATTTCACATAAATGAAATACAATAATGGGCTCTTTTGTGCCTGGTTTCTTTTACCCAGCATTATGTCTATGAGCTGCATTCATTTTGTTGTGTGTAACTGAGGTTTGTTCTTTTGCAGTGCTGTATAGTATCTCACTGTGTGAACAGACTGCAGTTTATCAGTTGATCCAACATTTGTTTCCAGTTTTTGCTGTTACAAACAAAGCCACTCTGCACATTCTTGATTGTGTCTTTTGATGGACAGAAGCACTGATTTGGGCATCTACCTAGGAGCGGAATTGCTGGGTTATAGTGTTGACAGTGTTTGGCCATGGTAGAAACCAGCCAATGGTCTTCCAAAGTAGTTGTACCATTTTACCGTCTCATCAGCAAAGC